AATCAATTTAGCTTTTCAAATTATTATTTTTATTAGATTCTCTTATTATAAAATAATGAACGCTCAAATTTTCAAGTGATTTGAATTTGTAAAAAAAAAAAGCTAAAACTTAAATACAAAGTGCAATCATGATTGTCAGATTGGCCCAGATTCAAATCATGCCAATAAATGTGTTTCAAATGCTGGAAATCCCTATGATTGTCTACAAATCTGTTTTCATATCTAAATATAAAATTTATAGCTAAAACATGGCATAGATCAAGAAATCTACAGATAATTGAAAACCTTGGAAATAGATGGTCCAGATAATAAATTACAAGATGCAATGCTTCTGGGACACAAAACCTTTTTTCTTTTTTTTTTTCATCCATACATCTCAACAGTGAGATGATTAATTAGAGGATTTTATAGTGCAAGAACGACCGTTTTCATTGAGTTTTTAACATGCACCTTATTTGTATGGTATAAAATGATACCTTACGTCAATTTCTTCATATCAGAAAACGTTCCTCATTGAAGTTTGAATGCAGAAAGCAACATTGTCTGTGAAAAAATAGTTTTCTAAATAACGTATGATTTCACCATTTGCAAAGATTGATGTGAATCATCATTTCTAAGTTGTAGTCACAAGTGATGGGGAGAGAGAGGTTTGAAAGCTATATTTCGACCCGGACGTTTTTGGGATGCCCCTAATAACCAACGAACGGCAAGTGTTTTTTCATGTGTAGATCCTATTTCAACTGTTTTTACATGTGTAGATCCTATTTCAACAGGAACATGATGAATCGATCGGCCCAAGAGGAGAGGCAGAGAGAGATTACCATGTCATGTTATGGTGGGGATCTGATTTACTTATCTATTGATTGGAAAGTGATTCACTGTCATCGTATAAATTCACAGTATACTTTCATTCCCTTCTATGGAAAACATTGATTCTCTGTCATCGTATGAATCCACAGTATACTTTCATTCCCTTCTATGGAAAACATTTGGGATAGGGGATGAATTCTTTATAGGGCCTATGCTTTATGAAAACAAAATAAAGCTTCACTTAAAATCTTTGTTCGAAAGTACTTTCAGTAATGGAAATCGCCATGATGACTTTAAAATCAATTTTCAACAACGACAATATAATTTGAAACTCAAAAAATGTCATTGATCTTGCAGATCTGTGAATAATTATTTTTAGGACAAAATTGACAGTCTAGATAATTTGTTACAATATACACCATTTTTAAAACTTGAAATCCTATTTTTTTTCACAACCATAATGTTTAAGCCGAGATGATCGAAGTAAAGGTTTTTCAATACTTGAATTGCAAATTTTGATGAGTTATGACGTGAGGTTTTACTTGTTTTGATAAGGCTACAGCCCTATCAAACAATTTTCCTTAAAAAGTTATATTGTGGTTTGTATAAGACCGACGCCTTAAACAATCAAAGTAAGGCACACCTTCAAATAGTATCGAAAGATATTGCTTAAGTACTAGCAATCTTTGTGATAACCTGCAAATTTGTTTTCATATCCAATTATAGAATTTAAAGTATTAAAAATAGTGTAGATCAAGAAAATGCATTACATGATGCACTATTTTTTAAACTTGAAATCTATTGTTTCTCATGATGCACTATCTTGAGGTCGAGATGATTGATTTGAGGGTCTTTGGATATCGAAACAACCTCTTCTAGTGAATTTTTGATATGCACATTAATTTCATAGATACGAGTGCAGTGATTGTACATGACGGAGAAGAGTGTGACCGCAGATTTGTGGGACATATCGGCCACTCTCAAGCTCATCGAAACTCTCAAGCAAGGCATCAGAATCCACATATATTATTTTTCAGTTTCTTTTTCCTTCTTTTTTAATCTTTTCCCTGTTTTAGCATTTTCTTTGCCAGGAATAATTTCTTGTTGCCCCAAGATCAAAACATGCCACTCTCAAGTTTTCGTGTGGCGTAAAACAAAGAAAATAATTTTTTGGTGAACAAGCATAGTATGCCCCTTATGCTTGGCTGTTTCATAAAATAAAAGAAAATTTTGAAAATAAAAATGATAAGGGTTACAATTTTGTCTTGATCTTGGTTTATTGAGAATGTTAAATCATGTGACACTTGAAATGGCGCATAATTTACAAGTTAATTTGATATGTCATGAGACAGCCTATATAAAGCATGTGCTTTACAATTGAAGCAATGGAGTTATTCTAATGCTCATTAAGGAATGCATTTTTTGTATCGAAAATCTTCAAATTTGTCATTTTGGCCTTGACAGTTATGGATACGAAAAAAATGGATTTTAACATTTAATAATACTATATTTTATAGCAAATTGCTTCGATTATCTGTTTGTTGTATTTTGCTTTGAAAAATATCTTATGTTATTTTAAAATAATATTCCTTTTGCTCCATAATGATTTGAAAAGTATAATATTTTTGAAAAGTGTATTTTATCTTATTTGTAGAGAAAAGTAATTACTTATTTATCAGTGGGTGATAAAAATCTTACTTAAATATGTGAATATTTTCTTCACTTAGAAATTCCTTTGTTTCTTTTACAAACTAATTTGTCGCGTTTCACCCTCCATTTCGAACACTATTTGCAAAGAGATCCCCAATATCTACATTATCCCTCCATTTCCAACACTACTT